CGATCAGTCGGACAGCCCTCTTATCTGCTTTTGGTATAGAGTGAGGAGGTTATGTGGCGGAAAGTACTTCTTAGCTCTAAACAAATAGCCTAGCTTTTTCCCAGCAGCTGCCACTATTGAGGAGATGTGTTCGTGCCAGATCAAGTATCCAGTGATCTGGACTCCGGCCAGCCGAAACGACTCTTTGGTTGAACGGTCATCCAACGAAACCAGATGAGCCCTGGGATGCTTTTTTTGGACTTGAAAACTACCTGGATCCATTTTAGTCGACATTATCCATTTTCGGAATAATGGTCTTCCGAGATGACCACCAATTCATAGCCAGTTCACTTGGCTCCTGATGGTACGCTGACATCACGACGATAGTAACAGGTCGTTTATGATAGAGGCTTTTTATCAGCAATTAAATTATAATCAATAAAACAGTTCAGTTAGTGGGGACAGCAGGTATATTAACATGCAGTTTTTAATTCTAGCAAGTAATGGGACGTTCTAGCTGTTCACACATTTGAAGCCAACAATGCTACACTAAGACCATTCAGTTTTGTTATAAATTGATATTTTCTAAGTTCTTGATCCGAATGGTGACTGAACTGTGTTATTAAAACGGGGGATAGTAAGTCAAGCCACAGGCCGATTGTATCAATTAGCAGGCATCATCAAACCAGTGATGCCATTTATTGCGGTAACATATTGTGATATTTGAAGGGTCATTTTATATTCACTAGTACTTACTCAATCTATCTGAGATACAAAATGATCTATTTCGTAATAAAAAAGATAAATTTGGCCGCAAATAGTTGAAACTGATATGTCATTGGGCTCTTGACGATGCAATTAACTGCAAGTCTGAATAGCAAACGGCAAAATATCATCGTTTGATATCTTTTTTATAGCTGCGATGTTTTTCGGCACTGAATGCATAATATGTCTGTTTACAGAACGGCTGTACAGCAGTGCTGGAATTCGTAAACAAATTGCTGTTTTTTCTGATGGATTTTTTTTTCGCGGCAGGTCTCTCATCAAAACATCCCGACACGCGCCATTTTGCGCTGACGGTGCTCTGGTAGTCGATTAATTCGTGGAACTTTTTCTGCTCCGAATATTTTCCAACACACGTCAATCTATGGCCACTGCTCCTGATTGCGAATCAGATAAAAACCGATTGAAACGCTGTTATATGCAGCAGCACACCCGCCATATATACGAAAAGCTGCAGGGGCGGCGAACAGAGTGAACAGAAAAACTGAAATTGGCTTCCAAGACCGAAAAAGTTGTTCTTCTAATCTCAATATGTAATTATTCATTAAGATTATTACCATCTTAATTCCTGACTATCTTAGAGGGGGCTAGATGTTAGGTCGCTGAGGACCCGTACAGGTTATTTGCAGTCACAGGTTTGTAAGTGTTCATAACAAACCAATTTTCATTTGTCGCATTTAGAAGCTTCCATGGATATCAAAAGGCTCCACTCCATCTGTTGCCCCTCACCGCAAAAACTAGAGCAGTTAATACTGTTATAGTTGTAGTCACCGTTCTTGGCGGGTCAAAGTAAGACTACCAGTATCCCTTTATATATCTCCATCTCCCTCACACATACACATGCAACCTACCCATGTGTATGAACCTTTTTTCGGAAAGCTCAAAGACATACGTTTTTTGGTTCAATCATATTTGAGTATAGATGCGCTGAACATTAGTCTGCGCAGTATTCCTCCCATGGTACGCAGACTCGGTCTGTCTACTTATTTCATAGGGTGTTGATGATGTAACTGCCAAGAACGGTGACTACAACTGTAGTAGGCAATTTACTCTTTAATTATTATTTCATCGTAATGATTGTTTTGCGGGCCAGTATCGAAATTATCAAGACCTTCCGGTAAAAATACTGTGAGACAACCTGATATCTCCCTTCTTTAAAAATTTTCGATTTCAATTGAGATTGCATCGTTGACATATTATTGTCAAGCAGAACTTTCCAAGCTCTCAAAAAGAAATTACTGATAACAAGGTAACCACAGAATGTTGTCCTATCTGAGAATCAGCTTTTACGAAAACGTCTTTCAATGCCAGTAGAGATTCGTTACAAGTATATCATTATGTTAATGCTAACGGTCAGCTTTATTTACTAAATGGAGAACTTTATCAATCACTATTAGCACAAGCGACAACATATTTATAAGAGTATAGGGAAACTCTCATTTGAGCTTACGGATTATGAATGTTCCTAAAACTTGTGTAAGGTTTTAGTGCGCTTCAATCTTCATAATAATTTTTTTTAATATCGAAGCAGCCACACTGGCAGAAGCCTAAATACTAGGGTAACGCAGCTACTGCAAGGAGCTTAAAAATACTGTTATTCCGATTTTTGAACTCCCTTAGGTTGACAAACTCAGAAAAACATCTTAAGGAGTTCAAAGTCAGGTAATGTCAGGCATTTTCATAACTGTGATCGAGTGCGAGCCTTTAAAGTTGTGTTTGTATGGTGCTTAAAAGCAGAATATTGAACAGACTCCCCTGGCCACCAATAATCAATAAGAATTCTATATTCATTAATTTAAAACAATTCACATTTTCAATTTATTTTGCTTCTATTTTTGTACTTTATAAAAACAGGTATGTGAGCTGGAGTATCAGTCTGACTCAGCATCTGTGGCCTGCGCTTAAGACCAGCGCGAGTCGAATCGGTGGCTCAGAGAAATAACTTCAAATGGCACCGTTTCGGCTGATTTTCACCGAATAGCTGGCTCTCAAAGTAACACTGGAAATTGTATTAGCTGGGAATTATTTAATCCAACAAAAGCTGATTTTGGGCGATTTCCGATGATACTTTGAGAGCCAACTAAGGGGTGAAAGTCAGCAAAATCGTTGCCAAGGCCGGTTCACCATTATTATCCGGCTACAGCATTTCCCTTCAACAAAAATCTTTATTCAGTTTTGATGTCGAAAGTCATTTATCGTAATTGACGAACCACGGCCGACTGCACGCCACTGGAACGACGAGCGTTATCAGTCCGACGATCCCGGCCGTCACCAGCAGGAGCCCGGCCGGACTTAGTGACATGTGGCTTTAACAATGCCACAAGTCGTACATACATTTCGATTAATTTCATTAGACTAATTTGATGAATGTTCATCGAAAAAACATATCTAGATTATACGCCCCGTTTGGACAGACTGTGCGCTTAACGCATATGTAGACATAATAGAGGCCCGTCCTTGGCAGATCCCTAATTTTTGTAGATGTGTTTTGATATAGGGGAATTGAGTGGTTGTCATTTAAATTGAACAGTTATCGTGATATAGGGTATCAATAGCATCATAGCGATGATGTCGCAACCTCCTATGTCAGCTAGACCAACTTTCCAGGCTCCTGCATTACACTACACGCTATTGTAGCTCTCGCGTTAATTCGAAAAATTTAGGATTTCTTTATTTTCGTGCATAAAAATTATAAAAAATGGATATGCAGCAATCGATATGTATGAAAAATGGACGACATTGTGTGTATGATACATCTGGAGAGTTTGAAAATGGTGAATGTGCCAACACTATCTAAGGCTCAGGTATACCCAAACTGCATTTACCTCAGCCAGTGTATTATCGCCGTCATCCCACCAGAGCTTTTTTTCATCGGGCATATGTTTCAGAATCAAGTCACTTGAACCAACATACTTTTTAGATCTAAGAACCTACTTCGTTATAGTTGAGTATCCGTTTTAAAAGCAAATAGGAAAATAGAGTTGTTCATGTCGTTGCCCTTGATATCACGAAAGCGGTCGATCAACTGTGGCGTCTTCTTATGTAAACTTCCTCTTCCGCGGGTGTTCCACAGGGATCGGTGTTGACTTCGACATTGTTCCTCTAACACATCAACGATCCCCTCTGCTGATGACATGCAGGAATTCAGAGAAACAAGCACATCTTTCGGTGAGGTGGAGAAAAGGAAACTAGCAGCGACTGGAGGTCACTGCGCGGAGACTCAACAATCTTGTATAGTTTAATGCTTCCAAAACGCATTACTGTACGTTGATTAACAAGAAGCATTCTACCGCTCATCCGTTTTTTTGATGGATGGCCGAGTTCTACCTAAGAGCCATTAACTTCGGCTGGTCGGAGTCCAGATAACCGAGGCAGCTGCCGAGAAGATGCTAGACTATTTGTTTATCCACATGACCTCCCCACTCTGTAGAAGGCCCAGATAAGACCTAGCCTTCTGTACTGCTCACACGTATGGGGTGTTGCCGCCATTACATTATTCAAAGGAGGGCTGTCCGACTGATCGATGACTCTTCTTTAACGGACAGCGCTCTTCTACGACTACGCCAACAGGCTTTGCTTCCCAGAGCTGTCCTCCATGGTACCACCGCGGGATACAGAACTAGCAAATACGACCGCTCCTTTGTCCCTAGGGTATTGAGATTTTAGACCAATCTACATGAGGAGGCTTTTCCCAGTTCTACTAACCGTAGGGCAAACTAGATGTACCCGTACGCTTATTTTGGTTATTAGTGAATCTAAAACTGGTATTGCGGTTGTAGATAGTACAAAAATCTAAAAAAAGCATAAAAACAAGTCAAGGGTTCTGGCTGAAACTTCCCAATTTACCGCAAAGATGTAAATCAAGAAAAAATGGACACTAGAATCTGTAATGCCAGCGATTTTATAAATAATATTTGGGATTTGGGAACGATCTTATAATTTTGTATGCAAGTAGGTAAATAACTATTGTTGCTTGCTTGCTATGTTTGCTTTACCCTGGGGGGTCCGGGAGAAAAGTGAATAATATACACCTTTTTTTTTTGGTTATGTATTTTCTTGGTTTCAGCTAAATAGTAATTCTCGTTTGTCTTGAAAACGGATACATTGAGAATAACTAAGTATAATTTTTTTCATATTAACTAACATTTCTGTAATAGCAGAAAGCTTCGGATTTTCAGTATGCGCGGTTCTCCCATACTTTCTTGCATATTTTTGCTCAGTGACAATCCTTGTTGCAGGTGTCATCAATAAACCGAGTACTCCGCAACCTGGCGTCTCAGAAAGAACAGCAAGCATCAGCCGCAGCAGCAGCCGCTCAGAGCGACTCAGTGTACGACAAATTGCGGATGTTTAACGGGCAAGCTGCGGCAGCGGCGGCGGGTTGGGCGTGGTACCCTACGGCAGGTCCCGCGGCGCCGCACCTGGGGTTACCGCCGGCGCCGTCCGCATTGGCGTCCCACGTGTCTGCTGCTAGGGACGATTTGCAGAAGAGAGGTGAATAGAAAAATTAATTTTAATAATACTGATAAATCGTCTTTATTAGGGGGTCAAGTTCAGCATAATGCTACTCTGCCACTTAACAAACTGAAACGGAATACAAAAACATTTGAAAAGTAAGACTAGAATGTTGCTTTGTTTGTGTGAGCCTGTGGACAGGATACAAAACGTCAAAAAATTCGAAGATGTGAAAAATTAATACATAAAAAATTTGGGATTCAGAAACACATATAAGGATAACGAGTTACTCGCACAAAAAATCATTTGTAAATACAAAGAGACTGTCTTATTTAGCAAAAGAGTTCCTAAGTTTACATTCAATCAAAAGTAAGCTGGTAATCTGCTTAATATCTAAAGGTTTATTATACATGGCACTGCATAAATACAGCATGTCAATATTGACGGTACCGGTAAAATTTCGTTGTGGATTGAGACCAAAATCTAGTCTAATCAGCCTCTTTTGTAGAATGAGTATTCTCTGTATGCACCAATATATAATCAAGTACCTTATGTGAGAGTATGCCATTACAACAAGTAAGTTAAAGATGCGTAAAAATATGATGTATATAGAATATGAGTAAGTAAAGGTTATTCAATATTTCTTTTCTTAAAAAAAAAAGATATACAACCAAAAGAATGTTATGTTTTATTAGAATATTTATGTGAGGTTACAGATACATTTTAGCAAATGATTTATGTATTTATTTTCAAAATAAGTGTAGAATTTTATTTTATTTTGAAATGGTTTATTCATATTGAGGTTCACATAAATAACACAAAAGTAAATCCCTCCAACTTTTGGCAAAGTGAAAAAATACCAATTTTTGTTAAATAACATGATCAATGATATATTTTGTAAATGTATTCATGAGATAAATGTAGTGGCATCAACATTTTAAAGAGGCAGTAGATACCATGTAGGGTGATTCTTAGCTCTATAACATGTAATATTTACAAAAAAGAGCTTTCATGTTATAGACAGGCCAACAGAGAGGCTGACGGAAATTACATAATTCTTCGTGATGTACATGTCATATAACATTTAAAAAATATATCTCATTTTTTCCGCGATTATAATACTTCCTCGTGGCATAGGACGTAACTTGTAGATAAAACAAACATAAACGTTTATGAGCCAACACAATACAAGTTTTCTTAAACTTATTAACACCATAAAAATAGTGTCTCTATTAACAAAAATGTCACCCTTAACGGATGATTCCTTGAGAAAGGCTAAACAATCATAATGAAATTAACAACAGCAAAAAAGGCAAGCAGAACACGAACCTCATAACAAAAAAGCATTAATGGAAAAAAAACTTCAATCCAAAACCAAAATTCATACTCCTACTTCTCACGCCTACTGGCGAAGGACATTACAATCACGAAAAAATTCGACAATGAGATATTTTGTTTTTTTGGTGTTATATGACGTCACGAAATACCATGTCATTCATTCTCGTCGGTTTGTCTGTCTGTCGATATTCGGTCTGTCTGTCCGCTAATTATTGAAATTTGATCAGGATGAGGATGCAAGTATTCAATTTTTTGTTATAGATGTTCTTAGCTACCTTTTTCTCAGAAGGGCTAACTTGTACCGAACATAATTCTTTACCAACTGAAGACAGCGTTGCGTGGCAACTACAAAGTCAACTAACTTGAGCCATTCTTTTATGGGCGACAATTGCTTTTTAAATAAATAGACCACTGGTCAGATTTCAGACAATTCCGTAGTGGAATAAAAGCCAAATATAATATCAATCTAGTTACAAATAACCGATTCTCCTAAGCCCTCATAAAGCAATTTTGAGGGTGCGTATAACCTGTACCCCTCGTCTCCCCGAGCCTCCCAAAATTATGCATATTCGGTAAAAGAGATTTGTCGGCGACGTAAACAGCACAGGGAGAAAACAGGAAGAACAGGGAACGGAAAGAGGGGGCAGAGGGGTGAGCGTCCGGATCAGAAGATGAAATAAAACAAGGAGAATGGAATAGCAGCGGCAACGGCAGAGCGCTAGCGAGGGTGGATATGAAATGGGGTGGAGTTTAGGGAAGCGGAAGTAAATAGGGACGCGCACAACACAGGGTGGTATGGTGGTGGTGGTGGTAGCTAGACTTGTGCAGCGGTGGTGGTGGGAAATGTGCACGGGCACCGTCACTGAGAGGACCAAAGGAAAGTCGAACAGGAAAAGCGCAAACACAGAAAATGCTCAATAGCGGCAACACAGATAAGATTCGCGAGACAACTTTCAGGTAGTAAGTTTTGGCAAAGGAACGTCCATGCTTCAATAGTGTCTAACTTCTTGTTGTGACTTTTTGTGTAGACAAAAAAGTTTGATTTACGATGAGATTCAGCAGATGAGCGCTATGCTTCGGTCAGGAGTTCCCTGATAGATAAAAATTGAAGCTTCGGGTACATAATTATTTGAATTGGTATTTTACTCTTTATAGACTGAGTAACTATGTCTTTATATGCAACACATTCTGCCACATTGCGCAGGAAGCCTCAAAGAACTCAATTTCTCCGCTTATACTGAACTAGAAACGTATTTCACATAGGGCGCCCTATTTGAAAACTGATAGGGCTTGTACAATTCATCAAACAATTCCGTATCATCCTGATAGGATCTGAAGTTCCTTATTCGATTATTACCGTATTATGAAATTGTATATCTTATATAGCTTTTAATTTATGTCAGTCCGTGGCACTAAACATGCGTTTAGTGTCATATCTCTTCCTACTTCTGATCCAAATTCTATGTGCTACAGGAAGCAATTAATGTTAAAGAAAACAGGTTTGCTGGGATAAGCGACTGACAGGGTAGTGATATAAAAAAAGATACCTTAGTTATTATATTATAGTATTGTATTCAATAATCGTTGTTACTTACCTAATTGCAGTAATGTACCATTAAAATTTATTAAGTTATACTTACCAGGGCAAATACTGGAACCATTGGTAAAAGAGTATCTGCCGGCACTAAGTGAACAACTGACGTGATTCTAGTTTCAGTAGACCAAATCGTACTAGTTTCAAACTAAGGTTTCTTGATTGGCTTCGCATTAGGCCCAAATCGCGAAATTGTCATATTTACACGTACATGTCAATATGAATTGCGCTAAGTGAGAGTGACAATTATTAGGAACCACTATAGACCTGTAATCGTTTATGGAAATTGAGAGTCTTCTTTCACCAAATTATGTTATAATCTGTATCAATATGAATAATATTCGTATATTGTTACACCAATTACATATGCAGAGATTTATTGATATGTATTTGTAGTAAAACTAGCAAGTCAGGGAAGCATGATATTTTAATAATATAATAATAATAGTAAAATGCCTGTATTGAAGTTAAAATGTAAAATACAGGGTGTTTCACAACTAATCCGACAAATTTTAACCACAAATGGACTGTTACGAAAGAAGTTGATTTCTCAAAAAAAATGTAATAAAAGTCCTACAGAAATCGAGATAATAAAATAATACAATTTAACAAATATCTTACTTATAAAAGATGTCTCCATTGACCGCAATGCAAGCTTGGGCGCGTCTACTCCAATTCCGGCGCACTAATTAAAATACACCTCCTTCCTGCTGTGCCTGAAGGCTCAAATTATCGGCAGCCTGTGTGATTCGGTCACGCAATTCTTCAATATTCTGAACTGGAGTACGGTATACCTTGTTTTTCAAGTATCCCCAGAGGATTTAGATCGGGAGACCGTGGAGGCCATGCAATTAGTCCACCCCTTCGGATCCAGCGTATCTGGTATACCTGATTCAGAAAACCATGAACTTCTAAACGAAAATGCGGAGGTGCCCCATCTTGCAGAAACCACACCCATGCTCGGACCGTCAATGCCACATCTTCAAGAAGGACCGGCAAATTATTCCGAAGAAATCCTAAATACCATCCATCCGATCTGGCAATAAGAACGGTCCAATTAGACGTTCATCGACAATACGAGTATCTGTCCACACGTTTAGAGAAAAACGCTGTAGGAAGTGTGTCTGGGCCACTGCGTGAAGATTCTCGAATGACCAAACGTGTGTATTATGAAGAATGGTTATCACATTACGGGTAAAAATACCTTCATCGGTGGCCAAAATATCAGCTGTAAAATGGGCATTTCGAGAATTTTCTTGCAACAACCACTCACAAAATCTTACTCTTAGGGGATAGTCTGTAGGTAGCAACGCCTGGACTCTCTGGGCGTGATAAGGGTACAGTTGGGCCATGCTGTTGCATGTGACACTTCTGGGACCTGTTGGGGTAAGTGCCTTGTGCTTATTACCGGATTTTCTTCCATAATATCCAAAATTTCGTCTTCGGCATTTAAAACGCGTTGTGGGCGAACCCGACCCCTATCCACTCCATGTCTGGGCCGCAAAACTGCACCAGCACGTGCACGTAAAACAATTGAACTAAATGTTTCGCGCTGTGGTATGTGCCTATTCGGAAATCGGTGTGCATACAAACGAGAAGCCGCTCGCGAATTTTGCCCTGCTTCTCCGTACGCTAAAACAATGTCCACTAACTCCTCATTAGTGCACACATGTGCCATTTTTATTAATAAGCAACTAGAGACATAAACTCGCATAATACTTTCTTATTTAACTTCACAAAAATTGACCGTTCTTCATTCAGATCAAACACGATACAGATTAAACCTTATTTACACGTTCTTATCAGTATGAAAAAACAAAAAGTTCCTGGTCCTTTGTTTTCGTCAGTTGTTTGGTACCATATTTGCTACAATAAATTATTCATGCGTGTTCTAATATCACGACGATGAAGGCAAAATACAAGTATTCATTTCTCAATTTATTTTACTTAATTTCTGTAGGCCTTTTATTACATATTTTTTTGATTCGTAACAGTGCAAAATTTCTCGGATAAGTTGTGAAACACCCTATATATTCCACTCAACCTACTCCAATTAATATCTGTAACAGAATAATAGAATGTTTCATCATATAAACATTGTGAAGCG